GAGAAAGGAAAAATTGAAATCGCATCATATGACCACTTTAATATATTTTAATGTTACACCTTCTTATATAAAACAAAGCAAAGAACAAGTGTCTTATCATTTATTATACTACGTAGCATAATACATCAGTAGTTGTCCGCAACAAACAATGTTGATCTGCCGTGGTACAAGTCCTTGTGCAGATTGAAAGAATGCCATCATCTCCTGTTCCGTTGTTGTCTCCTTTTTGTAGTTTTAAATAATGATTTAATGATTTGATATTTTTTCCCCGCCGTCACGGCTATAAAGCTTCTCCGACGAGCCGCTTCTTCTTCGGCTTTTGCCGTGGTACTGCGGGTTACACCAGCAACATGCCCGTGGACACTGCTGACTAGCGGTTTGCATGTGTACTGCACGTAGACGCGGACAACGACGCAGAAGTATAAATGAAAACTGACGCATAGCCTACGGCGTAAAGGCTACGGCGTAGGTCCGACGCAGAAGTATAAATCAGCCTTCACCCTAACAGAAAATATTCTGCATTTGCACAATTTAAAAAATAAATTATTTACTTTATAATTATGCTGTTTTTACAAATGAGGACGTTCCCTAGGTTTTGGAAGATTTTGTACACTTCTGGGTACAAATTCATCCCTAGTAAGTACTGTAGTTAGTACACAAACACATTATCATACACGTTCAGGGCAGAAAGTATACAGGAGAGACAGGGTTGGTTGTATGTATTAGTCAAATGTCAATGTACTATTCGACAAATGGTCACATTCCCTAGCAGTGATTTTGTATGTTGGATTTAACACAAAGTCAAAGTCTGAAACTTGTGCAATTCATGCATAAATATCAATTTTGTTTTTTTGTCCCCTGTAATTTTTGATTAAAATGCTTAATATGCTGGACTTCTCCAATCATTCAACAGATGGATAGAACCAACTACCAAGTATCTCACCATACATTTTTTCTGTAATCTGTTTCACTCGGATGTACATTACAACATGGAGGAATAGATCTGTTGCTACTTCTGTTATATTGAAACTTTAAAAGCATAAATAAATAAAAGCTATTTAGTGACTGGTTCCTTTGTGACAACTTACCCCATAGTATAACGACATGCTCTGGCATTGGGGTATGTCATCACAAAAGGTCAATGTTTAATGAACTGTGACTTTTTTTTGGAGCAATAACAATGGAAATGTTTGATAACCATTTTTAAGCAAACATTTGGCTGTGTTAATATTTCCCATTTTACATTTCTCTTTTCACATATATAATCTCTCTCTCTTTCTGAAGGACACAGGCCTTTCTCTCTCAACTCAGTTGCATGCAGTGACCTGCTGTTGCAGTGTGGTGATACTGGCACAGGTCCTGATGTACTGGAGTAAAAGCATGATAAACAGCGAGAAAGAAAGGCAAGTGGAGAAAGACAAGGCTGAATAAAAGAGGTAAAATACACTTGATGGACTATTGATGTTCACTCAATGCGGGCGTTTGTAAGTGTGATTTTCCACCTTTTGTCAGATAAATGGTCTGTGTTTAGTAATAGCTTGATTATTTCCAGATATTGATTAAGTTAATTCAGTTTAACTACAAACCATCTTGCACATTTTTTCTTAAATTAGCTCCTGGGCACATAGTTTCATCGCATACTGATATCAAATCTATATCGAGTTAATTCAGCTAAAGACGTTTGAATATTTGGCTAGAATGTGGAAAGTACCCAAACTATTTTATTTGCTTGGGTAAATGTAGTACAAATAGGATGTATTTATCATTTTGTTTAAATATGGGAAAATGCACATCACAAGGTTAATTCACAAGTCAGCCTCTGTGTGGCAGTAGTTATTTATAAAGCTGGTGATTATTGCAATAAAGCGCCAGTAGGTGGCAGAAGAGTAGTCTTTATCATATTGCGTATTACTGAGTTTCTACTGTTCATGCTGCCTCTATACTATATCACTATAAATACATGTTGTTCTTTCTTTCTGGCACCTGGTCAGATATCTTTTTACTTTCTTGGATTTACACCTCAGAATGTGCATTTGCACTCCTGGAAAAGAGGTTGTCAATCATTAAATGTCTCATGAAATGTTTGCAAATTCACTTTTCAGTCCTAAACTGTGGTTTCTTTTTTTCTAAACTTTAAACTTTATTTTCAGATGTCTTTTTTCTTTAATAAAATATGTTTCTGATCTATTAAAGCTCCTCTAACATGCTGTTGCTTCCCTTTATACCATTTTTGACTCATGTTGAGTGAAAGTGTCTTGGGGATTAGTAGTGAAGTCAACAAGTAGTTTAAAGGTATTGAAATGCCAGGCAGCCTGTCCCCCGGTGTTGCTTAGGCGCTGTGTTGTCGCTGTGCTGTGGTTTTGTTTGTTGGGTCTGGTTGTGTAGTCTTTGCTCTGTCTGCTTTGTGGGAGGTCTTCTCTGCAGGGCTGTGTGTGTTTCCGGAGCAATGAAAACTCACTGAAACATGAGTCATAAAGCATGTGTGCATGCGTGTGGTTCGCTCCTTATCTACCTGTCTGACAGATCTCAGTCTACCATCATAATGATCTAATCTGTGTGTCTGTGTGGAAACACCACACTGTGCGTGTGTTTGTTCGCCCTGCCCACGAGGGGCTGAAAGAAACGTGTGTGAGGACTTGAAAGAATTATGTTGATTTACTTCTATATTCCATACTTAGACTTCTACAGATTTCAACTGTGTGTCTGTATTATCGGAGCACTTTGATGTGTGTTGTTTGGTTGTGTGTGATAAGCAGCCCATTGATGCAGTTCTTCTGTATATCTGAAGAATGTGGTCTTAGTGTTTGGTGAGTATTTCTATCTGTGTGGGCCGCACTCCAGATCCAACTGTAGATAGTCATTCATGGTGTTCTGAAATTTGAACAAACATGAACAAATAAAAATTCTGAATGAATGCAGATGAAGTAAGCCTCATTTAGATGGTTGTTAGAGGGTTGTTTCGTCAGGAACTTTTATCTGCCAGGGATTGATTATTATTATTTTTTTTTAAATATATATAATAAGCAGATTTTAAATCTTTTCCTTTATGAAGTTTTCTGTGTGAATGTGAAGTTTGCATTAAAAACTGGAACTGGCCACATACCTTTAGCATTCATTTTTGCAGCATTTCATGTGCTTTTCATAAATACATTTTATTGTTTTACCATTGTTCCAGACCCAGACTTTCAGTCTTGAAATATAAAAATCACCCTAAAATATTAATTATTACATTTTAAATCTATTATGCCCTAAACAATGAGCAAAATATATACATTAAAAAATGAATGTGATGTATATTAATTTCTACACCAATAATAACTGTCCCTCAGATGTGGTGTGATTTCCATTATGATCAACAATTGTGTCCATAATAAAGTTTTTTTTTGTTGAAGTTATTATACATTTTTACCAAAGGAGATAAACATCATAAAGTATGCAAAGAAAGTTTGAAATAAGATTGTATTTGCAAAATGCATATGTGTGTGTAAATGAATGTGATGTATATTAATTTCTACACCAATAATAACTGTCCCTCAGATGTGGTGTGATTTCCATTATGATCAACAATTGTGTCCATAATAAAGTTTTTTTTTGTTGAAGTTATTATACATTTTTACCAAAGGAGATAAACATCATAAAGTATGCAAAGAAAGTTTGAAATAAGATTGTATTTGCAAAATGTATATGTGTGTGTATATATATATATTATATATATATATATATATATATATATATTTGTATATATATATAAATTGTGTGTAATTGGGATGTATAAAAATACTATGAGCAAGACAAAGGAGTCAGCCGTTTTAATTCAACAATGTTTAAAATGTAATTTCCATCACGTAATTTTCATCATGGCAGATGATGCTGTGGTTGAAATGTTTATGACTTTTAGAAAAAAACGACAGAATTCCCCTGTTATGTATGAAAATACACACATAACATTGTCAGCAGACAATTTTAATGAACTACTGAGAGTCTGGAAAATGTTTAAAAGTTTAGTTTCTTCATCCACATAAGGTGAAGAAACAGCCATGCAGCTATTTTGAGTAAAGTGGAAAAACACTCTCTCAAAAATCAGATAGCATTGCTGTGTGTCTGTCTTCCTCTCTTTCTCTCTTCCTCTCTCTTCATCCTTCATGCAAGAGCAGCTGCAGCGGATCAATACTTTAATCTGAGTGTTGTAATCCCACTTCTGTTCAGTGCAGCATGTCAAAACTAACACTCTCCTCCTCTGTTTCTCCTGTGAGCTTACTTAAAATAGATGAAAAAACAAAATGACGTATTGTTTGCATGTTCAAACTAAATGTGTGTGAGAGAGAGCAAGATGGCCCAAAAAAAAGGCCATCACCGATCATGCCTGCGACAGTTCTTGAATTTTTGTCCATCTGGCCAGGTTGGGTTCAGAGGAAGCATAAAAATAGTGATGGGAATGTGATTCCTACATTTCAGTGGTAAAAGTGAAATCGAGTTTATCAAGCAACTTTAGTTCTTTAAACTTCAGCAAACATGTTGATCCACATACAGTTGGTGCTGTCTCTCCCCATAGCTAACTGAAACACTTTAGCACCTGCCAATATAACCTTTCATAGGCTTTTATGGTGTTTGTACACACTTCTTTGCAGTATTTAAATATAGTGAAATTTGACATTTTCTGTGAAGAAATGATTGTCTTTTAAAGAAATTATATGATAAGTAGGGATGCAAATAAGATGATTATTCTCTTTGTGTTACAGCTGATAACTGATAAACGGTAGATGTTAAAGTTTTATACTATTTTGTCTAAGTGAAGTAAAAAAACACTAACAACTAAAATCACTGTTTTGGATTGAGGCATTACAACAGTATAATCTACAGTATAAATAAGTGGAAATTCATTTTGAGATTTGGGTAAAGATTACATTTAATAATGTTATTAATTTTATTAGTCTTTAATGATTAACTTTAAGTGAGCATTAGATGATGGCAAAGGTAGTCTAAATGTAAAAGCTGGAAATAAGCATGCACAATTAAATACAGCATATCAACTGATACTGATAAAAAAAAGTATGTAGTATCGAACAATATCAGATCTTGTACCATATTGTGGAATGATGACATTTAATGATATCTGAAGAAAGTCGCTACCTGTTAAAGTCAAGAATATTACACATTTACAGAATAGAAGAAACATTGTGTTATATGTGGTGCATTTTAGTTTGTATTGATCTATTTTAAGATTTTTGTATGTGATTTTTTTTTAGTTCTACAAACGTCATTGAATGGCAGAAGTTGAGCTGATAATAGACCAGTACTTGTGTTATAACTGAGATGATTGACGCTCAAGCAAAGTTGAAATAATTTACATGTTTCTGGTGACTCGCGTTAAGCTGTGTGACGTTAGTTAAGACGATTGTGACTATATTCTGCTTACTAGTTGAGGTTTTTTGTCACTCATCGGTTCATTTTTCTTGCACAATCCTTCGGTGGCAAATGCTTTCTATATCTCTCTCCCACGAAATAAGCACCACACCTACAATCTGACTTATGCACAGACAAACCTGCACTACTTCTCTCTTGTTCCTTTTCTGTTTTTTTTGTTTTGTTGAGCATGTAAGTCGAGCATAATAAAGTTGAGGTGGCATTCAAGCAGACAGCAGTGGTTAAGTATGCAGTTGGTCCTGCTCTCTGTTGTAGCTCTGAACTGGAGCATAGCAACTGTGTCCCGTCGAGTCATAAACATGAATATAGAGCCAAACTTATACCCCTGTTGGTTAAAAACACGTGTTTAACTTTATCTGGTAACTTTATCATGCTGTTACATACAGTATATCACTTAGTAGAGTAAAATCAATTTTGTATTGTGCACATCAGGGTTATAAATAACTAAAACTAAAACCATTACAAAAACATGTTTTAATCAAAAATAAAGGTCAACTGAAAATCTAAAATAAAATAAAAAAATATATATTTTAATACAATAGTACCCAAGGAAACATTTCTCATTTTCATTTAGTACTAAAGTAACTAAAACTACAACTGAAAAATATTAAAAACTATATATATATAAAAGCAAACAAACAAAAAAATGACAAAAATACACAGAAATACTAGCACTTCAACAAAAATTAAAATAAAAGGAGAAAATATAAAAATAAAAATTAATTAATGAAAAAACTGCAATAGTATCTCATTGATGCTAAAATAAGAGAGCTGCACATTTTGTAATATTTGAGGTATGACTGAAAACTTACTGGTTTGACTCAATATTGCTCAGATTGTGAACAGTGTGAAAACTAATATAAAATCAATTCAAAAAACATTTAAGCCATCTTTTTCAATTATTATGTTTATATTCTTTTGTGTGTACACAGAACCGCTGTATTGTTTAGTGTGACAACATTGTGTGACTGTATTCATGGTTCATGAGAAATTATATGCATGCATGTAGAGAGAGAGAAAGAGAGATACTTTGTGAACTTTATTGGGTTATATGTGTGTATGAAAAGTTTCAACAGACATTTAAATGTTGTTGAACTGAAATTGCGGAGTCTGTTTCTTCCCCTTCCCCTCTCTTCTCTCTCTCTGGTGGGTGTGGGGTTGAGTTTTGGGGTTAGTTTGGGGGATTGCTGTTGCTTTGGGAACAACCTTATATATATATATATATATATATATATATATAATTTATTTTATTGTACAAATATCATAAATTTCCAACATGTTTTTTTAAGGTTACTTCATTACATGAACAAAATGTGAGAAGGTCGAACTGTCTTGTATTAATGACTTTTATTGACAGGTTAGAAGAGACATTTCTGTCTCGGTTTTTCTTTGTCACATGACAACAAAATGGCTTCCTGTACGTTGAACAAGCCACACTAACCTTGATTAATGTTTTTAAATGTTTTTGAAAATTGCTTCATTCAAATCATAACTACTTAGGTCCATATTATTATGATGCCTTTTTCTTTTTCATCTCTGGAAATTTACACCACATACACACTTTTTAAGTAGGCCTACAGAAAATATCAATGTAATTTTAATGCACATGTTCATGATGACAAAATAGCCTATATTTCTAACTAATGCTGTATGCATTGCATTTTAAACTTAATTGTTAAGTTTGACCAAAAAAAGGACAGGAAGTCATTTCCACCCTTTTCAAAAGATATTCTGCTTTTAAAAAGTGTTATTGACTTCCTTCTCTTTGCACAGCTTCCTGCAATAGCATTTATGGGTCCGGCGGACTATATGTGTCGTCGGTCATATGCGTGAGTGTTTATAACTCCCATCCCCCTTTCAAAACTTTTCCTTGGCATCTCCCTCCAGTCCTCCCCTCCCCTCCACCCCCGATTAGCCGGTCCTGACTGCACCATTACCATGAGAATAGCGGGGAGCAGCGAGCGGGTTAAGCTCGGGACTGCTGAGAGAGGGGAGACGAGGCACTCAATGCAACGCTAATTTTCTGCCCGGTAGGAGAGCGAGAGAAAGGAGAACAAAGGCGAGCATAAGAGGCGCTGAGAACCGCGAGCTTTTACTGCGCGCACCTGCGTGCTCAAAAGCGAAGGACAATGAACCTCGAAACGGCCAATTACGGCCTGGACAGCCATTCGCTTTCTCTCCTGGAAAAAGCGGGCAAAGTATGAAAAAAAAGGAAAGGGAGGGATATTCTTCCGACCTCTGTGTTTTGATCCTCCTAACTTTTATCAGTTTTAATCGATGTCCACTTTCTTCTCGGGGTTAGGTGACGGAGGTCATGTCCCCTCAGCACTCGCCAAAACCAAGACCCTGTCCCTCCCAAATCAGTGTCCTCTGCACTCATTGTTCCCTTTGCTTGCTTAATTTGGTGCGTTTTAGCTAATTATAATATTAGTCATATCGACTTAAATGCGTTAATGTCGAGACCATAAGCCCGCTATCGTATTAACGATGAATTAAACGAGTCTGGTCGCTTTTAAATGGGCTGCCTTATGAAACGGACCCATATGGGTTTTGATTAATCATTGGAAAAAGCTCGTTTCAGCAATTTCGCAATAAAAGCCGATGTGTTTGGGCTGGGCTGTCTTGCACTTATCACATTATCGTCTAATTCGTCAAAGTGTGTAGGTTGTGGCTCCGGAGAAAAGCAACACCTGTCGTGTTATCGTTAAACAAACTTGAGGCTTACTTGCTTTCCAGCATTTGCTACTTATGAACGTCACAATGTAAAGTGTGTTTGAATTTGTAAAATCTGTGCAAGAGGAAACAGATGGAGTTAAAATGCTAACCATAGGCGTACCTGTACAATGTTTTAACTAACTAGCTTCAGCCCTCAGACATTTTTGGGGCCCATTGCAACAAACTTGTTTATATAAGAAAATAATCATTTTGAAGAGAGACATTCTTTTTTTGTTATTAAATTCTTGTTATTTCCATTGATTATTTATTTTTATTTATCTATTTATTTTGTCTATTAAAGCATCACATTTACGGATTGGCATGACATTGTATTTCAGTTGTAAAATTAAGGAAAGTAGTCTGGTTTTCATATATAATTATAATGAGAACAAAGAAAGAACAGTGTACAAAAATAATAAAATACTTTATTAAATTTTTTTTTGTTGTTGTTGTTTTTCTATCAAGGTTGTCAAGTCACATACAAGATTATTAACCCTTACTATAAGGGCTTAAAAGTAAAAAAGAAACATTTCACAACAATACATTCTCAGTCAAACAGTCTTTTAACAAGCTCATAAAATTTTTTCGTTTTTAATGAACATTATTCAAAACGTTTTGACTTTGCCTTTTTTTTTTTACACACACAAAAAACACTTCTATTCACAATGTTCTATTTCTCAAAGGAGCTGAGAATTAATTGTTCTTTTTTTTAATAGAAAATACAGTCAAATCCCTCTAAGCGGGATCTCTATTTCATTTTCACTTTTTAATGCGACAAAAATCTGTTGAAGCTCAGGGCATATATCTACACTAACAAAAATGTCTAAACCATTGTGCATTTCATATTTTTGCATGACCTAAAACAATGAAGAGCAGCACAATGTTACAAAGTTTTATGGTATGAAAGCTTAAAAGTAAAACTTGGGAGATTCATTTTGAGGTGTTTCGATCATCAGGACAAGCAGCGACTGAGGGAATGTGTGCTCCGTTCCCTTCTTTCCCTATTTAGCGTTTACAGCCATGCCTTTAAAGTCAGTAGTCAGTGAGATATTAAACTAGCTGGTTGACTATGCAAATAATAAGCAGTAATAAACCATTTGGCTAGTCGATTACAAAAACAAAAAAAAATGTGCCGTGTTACTACCATGAGCGATTCCAACAACAGTGCACCAGGCCCCACTGGCATAATCATCAAACATAATGCAGAAAACAAAGACATGGACCTTAAAGAAAAAAAATGTGACAGAAAGGGGCGACACACATTCCATACAATAATCTGAGGCACTTCAACAAGGCCAGAAGTCCAGCTGCCTTGGGATTCCAGTTCGGCCGTGTGTCCACACACCCTCATCCTTTTTTACATATCAAGTTAATGTTCACACATCTACTACCGACATCAGTGGCCCTCCAGACCCGAAACAGGAAGATATAATAACAGTTTCCTGATCAGATGTGAGTGAGAGGTGCTGTACCGGTGAGGTAATGCTGTTGGATGTTGGAATAGCCCCTCTGTGCTCCACTGTCTGTGCTGTCTCCACCAGGGATATACATGCTAATCATGTCCCTCAGGTCTCCTTGTAAAGGACCCCGCTGGTGGCTGTGGGCTCCGGTGGGAGAGTGAGACACCTGGTCTGGTTTCACCATGGACATGACCGGGCTGGGCTGCTGGGGAGTGCTGCTGTAGGACATGGGGCTGGAGAGAACAAAAGAAAACTTTTAAAGTCTGTGCAAAACTAAGTGTGCATGTCGTTTAGTGCACATGCAAATATCTAACTGTAAGACGAATTATAAACTTACTTGTAGGAGTTGGCACCATTCATGTAAGTCTGAGCGGTGGCCATTGCAGATGGATACTGGAGGGCAGACAGATCGTAGCGGTGCAGCTGCTGACTGTAGCCCAGAGCATCCGTCTGCATGCCAGTGTAGCCACCTGTGTGACCCCAGCCATAGCTGTCCATCCGCGGGCTTCCACCTGATCCCTGAGCCGCGGCTGCCGCCAGTAAGTTGCCGGCTGATAGGGGATACTTAGCAGCCGGGATGTCCTTCTTCAGCACGGGTTTCGTCTTGCGTCGGGGTTTGTATTTGTAATCTGGGTATTCCTTCATGTGCAGTGCGCGGAGCCGCTTGGCCTCGTCAATAAACGGGCGTTTCTCCGCGTCCGTCAGCAGCTTCCACTCTGCGCCCAGGCGCTTGCTGATCTCAGAGTTGTGCATTTTGGGGTTCTCCTGTGCCATTTTGCGCCTCTGACCCCGAGACCAGACCATGAACGCGTTCATGGGCCTCTTAACTTTGTCCATAGGATCGATACTCTGTTGTTGGTTGTTGACAGCCGGTTTGGCGGCTCCGTGCGTCAGTCCAACGGTCAGCTGGGTCATTCCCTGCGCGCTTTGGTGCGTCGGTGGCACGGCGGACTTCATGTCGTGTTCCAGCATGCTGTACATGGCTGACAACAGAGGTTAGTGGTGATACTGAAGTATCACCGTAAACTACTAACTAGCCTAACTTAAAATCAAATCCACTGACTTTCAGTGTCCGCGAAGGTAAATGTTTACGCGTTGCGCTCTGGACACACAAGTCCAAAAGACGAGAGCGAACTGATTGTAACTACAGCCAAAGTGTTTGTAAACGCTTAAAGACTATCAACAAGTTCTGAAGTGACGTTAGTTTGCCTTAAAAGCGAAACAGGTCCGAGCTGAACTCTCTGTGCGTCCTGCCAGCGACTCTTTCAGTGCTTGAGTGATAATAGAATTTCATCACTGTCCGCCTCCAGCTGCTTTCTTTCTCTCTACATTAGCATCACTAAAGAAGGGGTGCGGTGAATGTGGAGAGGCCAAGAGCAGGAGGAGGATTCCGTTTTGGGGAGAAGAGTTTCTGTCTTCACCTGCAACTCTTTAAACGGATTTTACAATGTTTTACAGTGGCCATAGTTAATTCTCAAAAAATCAAGTGCATGTAGTTTGTTAGTATAAGTTGTTCTTCTGAAAATACACATTTAAGTGTACTACTATGCATTTATCTTTATCCACAGCTGCAATGAACACCAAAGTTTTTAATTTCTGACCAAAACAAAACCATATTTATACTTAGACACTTGTTACCTGATGAAAAGGCAGCTTTTGGACAATAATTTTTATTTGGTTTATTGCAAAAAAAAAAAAAAAGGATGCCTTTTCTG